AGGGGGTTTGACACGAGTTGCTTTGGCAATCTAACGAAGTTCCGCTGACTTCGCAGCAAAAATACGATATCCGCCAAGGCACGCTCATAGATGAGTCAAATTTGGATAAATAAAAAAAAGGTTAAAGGATTCGGCGTCTTCAATACAGTCAGCGGGCATGCAACGAACGCGCACTACTTTATATCGAAGAGGAAATTATATGCGTAAGCCTATTACAGTGACTTGTAGGGGCCAGCCGTTTCCAAGTAAGTGTTTTACACTCCCCGATTACTCTGGTACCAATTTACCGGCCCCGGAGGGTAGAGGGCTTGGTTGGCCTAGAGGCGGGTCGAACCTGTGTCCGACCTGGTTATAGCGGCGCTTCATACCACCACGCCCCTCGTCCCCCTCAAACATGGAGAGCAAAAAACAAATATGAATATTAAAAATTAAAAAGAATACAAAAAACAACTTCGGACTTTGGACATCTTTATCTATATACTCCGAAATGGCTATTATACGGTGTCCGATACGCACCACCGCGTGCTTGGAGCGGTATTGCCGTCATCATTTATTTGGAGTCTTTTATTAGACTGGAAGATGGGGTTCAGGGAGATTTAAAAACTAGTCTTAGACGTAGATTGAAGTCGTGTAAAAAGCGTAAAAGAATTATATGGCAAATTAGGTAACTACAGATGGCTCCAAAGCCATTTACCTTCAAAAAAGTTTTCCACGCCTTCATTTTACATTTTTCATAATGTATCGTAGTTCCAACTTCCTAAGTTTTGCACAGCAAATCTGCATCATGTCAGTTCCTCTCTCTGTAAAACAAGAATTTTTTTCCCGTGAGGGGGGGGGGGGGATTTTCGCGCTTGCACGGAGAGCATATGGTAGAGAGAAATGCAATTTTGCAAGAATAGTATCGACAGGATAGTGATAAGCGCAACATCTCCACCATTTAATTTTTGGAGGCTCTATTATTCGAAGATAATGGGGTTGGAGGAAGTTTCAAAACTAGTTTATAAGGTTTTAGATGTACGTTGAAGTCATGCAAAAGGAGTAAAAAAATTATGTGGCAAACTTAGGTAGCTGTGCAGAAGGTAACTTTTTCATAACTTGTCCAGTCCAATTCCCTAAGCTCTGCACAGCAACTCTGTGTCATGTCATTCCCTCACCACCGTAAAACAAGAATTTTGTTTTGTTTTTGTTTTTTGGTGGCGAAGGGGGGGGGGCACAGAATTTTTGCGCTTGTACGAAGAGCGTATTAAAAAAGAAAATGCGATTTTGCAAGAATAGGATTGGCATAGTGATGAGCGCAACGTCTTCGGGAGATGGAGAGTGGAATGAAGAGGGAACTGATTGTGGAAAAGAGGCAAAAATTATCATCATACAGGGTGTCCCAAAAGTATGTATACACTGTTCGATCGTTAATATCTCTCTTTCTTTGAAGTCTTCTGCCAACCTTCAAGTAATATTGTAGAGCTGGCCTCAACTTAGATCTACAGTATAATGCGAACCATCTTTCGTTCAACCACCTATCATATGGAGAAAATCACCGATCTTTCTTCATTACTGTAGAATTACGGTAGGAACTTCAAGAAGCGTTTTGAGCCCTTAACGGTCCTGTTTCACCTCAAAAAGCAAACAAGCAACCTGGAAACTCTTACACTAGGCTAATTAGTCGCTAAAACCAAATACGAACTCTGCGTTTTGCCGCGGTGCTTCCTTCATAACTATGGAAGGCAGACCGCAATAGCTTGTTCATAATGCTCCTTAAAATTGTTGTTACACCCATTAAAAAGCTTTACAAACTCCTGAACAACAGTTGAGTAATGAAATTAAAGCGCGTAGTATCCCTGATACACCACCTTTCGGAATTTTTGGAACTTCTTTTTGAATTATAAAGTAAGGGGCATGAATTATAAAGTTGTGCAGTGGGTGGCAAATAATTAAAGAAATTTTCGAATCAATTCGAAACACGGTTGGTCCACAAGGACGCTGTAAACCAGAAGTTCATACTATAATCGCACAGTAATGATGAACAATAGGTGGTTCGCTCTATACTGTAGATCTAAGTTGATGCCAGCTATACATAATGGTACCTAAAGGTGGCCGAAAGACTTTGGAAAATGAGATATCAATGACCAAACAGTGTATACATACTTTTGGGACACTGTATATAAGTGTGAGACTCATATAAGAATAGATGGGATAAGCCTTTTTGTTTAGGAGGGCTGCCAAAATTCTGTTATGTTCATCGCTTTTATCTATGAGCTGTTCGATTAGGTCGTTGAAGTTTACCACTCGGTCAATATTATATAGAAATCCATATACTGCCTTGCGTAAACCAAAGCTTTCCAAGATTTTCTTACCATTCTCGAGATTCTATTTTGCACAAAAGAATTGGAGCTTTTACATGTACGCTTGAGTTCATACATGTTTTCCGCATCTTCTGGGACTCCGCAAAACCAATACCTCTTTGCTTTTTACACCCAAATCATATCAAATCTGCCCCTAAAAGCATTGTTCAGATCAATCGGAGGGAGAGAGAGATTTTGACGCACTGCGGGAGCACGGGTCCTGACTAATGTAACAGTTCAAGTCCGATCGGAAATGGTGATTTCTGATTGTGGAGAGAAAATCGCGCGGAAAAATGCGACGGTACACAAATACCGCTTCCTTGACAGTCTTAACGTGGTGAATGCTGTAAATCTAGTGCATGAACCACGCCATAACTTGTCATAGAGGAGGGGCCCGCGTATCGTTCTTTTTTTTTGGAGCGATTTTTTCGCTTCCGAATCCACCCTTTTCGACAGACTTGATTTGTTGCATCAATGAGCCGAGAAGCCGAGTTCCCGCAGCGTCAAAATTTCACCATCCCTCAGTTGACCTGGACAATGCCTTTAAAGGCAGTGTCCAGGCAAATCTGGACCTGTGGGCTCTCATGTGGAAAGTAATCTTGAGGCTTTAAATAAGACTTTGCCCAAGCGGCAGTTTAGATAGTGCACTCATGGCTAAGATATTGGGTTCTAAACTATGCTCCGTGACCGCATTCGCATGAATTCATGGCTTGGCACATCATTCGCATGGATCCTCGCGCGAAAGGCCACGAATCCATCCGAATGCGGTTACGGGGCAAGTTTGAAGCCCAATATCTTAGCCGTAAGTGCACTACCTGAACTACAGCTTGGGCACAGTCTTATTTAGGGTCCCAAGATTGGTTCCCACGTGAGAGCAATTTAGGTTCAGATTTGCGGGCGCTGCCTTTAAGGGTCGCATGCGCTAACATTCCTGCAGGGGAAGGGAGCACATTTAAAAAAATCTTGGCCTTTTTTTGGAAAAATATCGCAACATTTTATCTATGTTCAAGTTGTCTTGCTCTGATGAACAGAACAACGCAAACGCCGGGAACACAAAACCACTAAACGGAATTACATTTATACTTTAAGAACACAACGAAGATCAAGCTGCTCTTGATGTGCAAATTTCCTTTCAAGGAAACCTTCGAAACAATCGCTACTTCGAGGCCGCCTTTATGGCTCAGTTTGAGTTTTCTTACTTTGAGGGCATTGAAGGAGAACTCGCCGCGCTATTTCCGTGTTCCCTGAGCACAAACCTGCGAGTCAACAACAAGGGGCGTTCGCAATCGCTGCGGCTGCATTGCAATGTATATCAGTTGGTATTCCTTGAAGCTGCTCAACAAATCATAAGTTTCTACCAACATCTTTTCCACGCTATCTTCGTAAACTCATTTTACATTTGAGTTACCCATAAGGCCTCGGGCAGAGTTCACCGATTTTATCGTCTCGCAATTCTCCAAACAAGACAACAGTTTCAATTCCACTGCATGCCGACCATCTTGCATTTCGGTTGTGATAGTTAGTCACTATTAGTCGTGTCGGAAAACTGTCGCAACCGGAATGAGGAATGATTGGCATGCAATAAACTTTTACAGTATGCCCGGCGGAAGACGGCCCTTCTACACCGCTGCCTTAGCAGCCTGATTATTGCGCGCCTCTGACTGGTCAGCGCTGCCGCGGTCGACGAGAAGTTACGCAAAAGCTTTCTGAAAGAAGAATCAGAAATGATCTCGAGTTTGTATTGAAACTCAGAAAATGTTACACATGAGTGGTTTGTGTAGGTTCTACAAGCCATGCAGTGGTTTGGAGAACTGAAAAGCGCGAGGAAAACACGGAATGGCGAATATATTCAACCTCTGGAATTTTTCAGTTCATCATTGTTGAGAGCCTCTCCCTTGCTTTGGAAAACTCAGAAAACATTTAAAAATTCTGCCAGATTACAAGTAAGGCGGAGTGCTGGCGCTGCCCTGCAGGAGAGCAGTTAGTGCTGGGACAGAGCGGTGCAGAAGGGCATACACCCATGCCTAGCCTTTGAAGGCACCGTCCCCTAAATCCTCGATTTCGAGTTTTTGTTTCTTTTGGCACCTCTTGCGCACGCTGCCGAATCCATGCCTAATATTGAACAAAAGTCTTGAGTTATTGAGTTTGAATGCCCTTCAGAATACGCAGTAGACCAGCACTCCTTGGGCCTACCAGTCAGCCGCGGGCCAGCTGCGAGGCCATCGCAGGGCAAAACGCGAGGAACGCTGTGTCACTTGGCACACTCGCATGATCTGATCAATTTCTTGACCTTTGCGCCTGCTAGGCGAAATCACTGAGTGGGCGAGACAAACGTCAAGCCCACTCAATAGGGATGAGCCAACGTGGCGAATCCGTTTTTCAGAAGATTTTCGAAGCGAATTTTCGCTTTGAAAGCGACTTCAGACAGCGCTTGTTGGGTACTCATACAGTTGAGTACAGTTATACAGTATGAAAGTATATGGTCATACACTTATACAGTTATTTCAGTGCCTAACTGTTAGGCATTGAAATCTCGTAGGCCGAACTGTGAGGACCTGCCGCTTGCCTTCGTCATTGAAGGAGTAATCATTGTATAAAGTGAAGAGTGATAAGCATTGTTTTCGGGAGTCGATAAATGGTATTGTTCATTTGTTAACCGGATAGCGTCGTACACCGTACGCATGAACATCATGCAATATGCGACTGTGTTACTGTATTTTATTGCGCTTCAAATGCATAAATTGGAAGTAAGTGGCATATCAACAAGCAGCTGAAACATGTTTTAGCTGTTCTTCTAATTTTTCTCGTAATTCCGAAAATCGGAGGATAACTGGTGCAGCAGTTGTGATGTTGCTTATTCAGGCTAAGTTCCTTGAGGATGTGATAGAATGGGTCAGAAACACATTTCCAGTAATAGAGGTATGAAGCATACGTCAACCATTGAGAAAGTGTTAAAAATTGTCTCTCTTAGCCACCAGTATACGCAGCATCAACTATGGATAGAATGACTTGGCATTGCGGTTCTAACACGTATGAACTCTCGTTAAAAGTATCAAAATTTATTGTCGAGAGGGCGTGTAAAAAAATCAAGGGTGAGTAGATATATATCATGAAATCACAAGTGATAAACATTATAAATGTGCCTATTGAATAGTTCAGTGGGCTAAAATAGCTGTAAATGTGCCTTTCTTCCATATACAAATATAATATACAAGTTGCCCCAAAATAAAGTAACGAACGTTTGGTTTTCGATGACTTTCTTGTATGAAAACAATTATGAATACTCTCTAATTCAAAACCATACTGTACTGGCTTCAGCTGAAGTTCACAGTATGGAGCGGAGAATGGATTGTTCCTCATTACTGTAGGATTGCGATAGCACTTTATACGAGGATTTTGAGCTTCACAGGGCGGTATATTGGCTTGTAGGACGAAGCAAACGACAAACTCCTGATCTGAATCAATCAGAACGCTTACCTTAACCTTAATTATGAAGTTTGCACTTAGCAGTATTTTACATAGAAGACTTTTTCAGAATCAGATGTTTGATGTGTTCTTTAGGACATCTGTAAGTTTCAAAAAACATGCTTCTTGAAACAAATAAATTCTAAGAGGATCCGGAAAAGATAATGTGTTGGATGGCGCGGATCACCGATCTACCAGTCTTTAGGGCGGAAAAAGAGAGGCCGATTTGACCTTTCAGGCAGGCAATAAATACTGCTAAACACGGGGGACCAGCCAGAGCGGACATTCAACGCTCTCGGGAGTTAAAAAGAGCCATCGAAGAGAGGCGGACCTCCGTTTTTTGATAGAGAGGAGCTAGAGAGCCCTGCTGAGAGGGCAAATCGGGTTGGCGCCCGTGGTTCTACGTAGCTATATTCTAGTACCCAAGATTTCGGCTCAGGGTGGGGGGGGGGGGGACAAAGAAGGTGCGGTGGCGTTAGCCACGCACTCCGAAAGATTTTTTGGTGACAAGTCATTTGCACAATTTTACAACCCATGTAAGTAACTTTCAAAAATTTCGCGACCCGCCCCCCTCCCTTCCGCTCCGCACCCTAGGTACACCACTGCTATAACCGTTGTTATTGTTTTAGTTCCTGTTGGTTTTGCGACATTAGGATAAAATCTTGGGCTCAAACCCGTGTCTCTTATCGCGGACTTACCACTAGACCACCCTTCGTTACAAATATTCAAGTTTCTCAAAATCGAATCGGCTACTTTTTTGCATTGATCTTTACTTAATTGTGGACATATTTTGAATGGTTATTGGTTATTGAATAACAAGGCAATAATAGCACGAAAAACTATGGAAGCAGCATGGATTTCTGTCAAGAATCCAAGTATGAATAACAGAAATGAAGACTTATCGACGACCGAACTCTTGCCATTCTTGTCGATATGTGAGCTACAGCCTACACATATATAAAGGTCATTCCGCTGAGCAACGCTCAGCGTCGCCCGTCTACTTTGTGCGGCTTGACTAACTTACTAACACATAGGTCAGCTTCGGTGGAACATAGGTCAGCTTCTACCCTATTTTCAGGTGTATAAGTCGCACCCTTTTCAATATAAAGGCGAAGACGCCAAAAAACTGACTGTCGTCATGGAGTTCGTTATGTGAGAGCAGTATGCGATAAGGCGACTGTTTCGCGAGACATATGCGCGGCGGCACGCCTGGGTCTGCTCGCGTTTAGAACAAAAAGGGTGCGGCTTATACACCTGAAAATAGGGTACTACATCAGCGTGTGACTCAGTACGTTGCCCTCGGGACGAGATCCAGACTGAATGATGTTTGGGGATTGCGTTTGGCTGTCTTATCTCGCAGATGAATAACTGCAATCTACTTCAGACCTCCGAAGACGACGACTTTGTCGAAACGTAAGGTCAATAAATGATACCACCGTATAACCTGGATCTGGCACAAATAACATAGAACGAGTACATCAAAATGTCCAGGTTCAAAGAAGAGAGAACTTAAAACTTAACAAGCCTTTTAATTTCTGAAAATGGAAACTGGGCGAAGGAAATTTCATTTAAGTGCGCAAAAAAACTGTATCTCTGAATGTTTGGAAATGTGGATTACCTTATCTAGGCAAGTTTTTAGAAAAGAATGTTTGATAAAGGGAGCTACGTCGTGTTTTACATAAAGCAGCGTATTTCGGACTTGGTAGCCTGCGTGTGTCATTGATGTTAAATGGGAAGATTTTAAATGTTTAAGTTAAAAAGTTTTGTATACCTTCTTCCTCAGCTCATTCCTTCTTGAAGGCAGCGTCCAGGCAGATTCTCGACTTCTATATTATTATGTTATCCGGGCCTTTCCATAGCGCTGATTCCGAATATGGAACTCAAAAAGCGTGAATTTCTCAGAAAACCACCTTTTGGGGCCACATTCGGAAAACCCGGACGAGTGCTTCTGATGTTATCATTGTCGAAAGCAAGTATTAACAGGTAAACGCTATAAGTTCGACTGTGTTGGTCATGTGAAAACACGTCAAGGCTGAGGAGATTTCGTTCATAAGGGGTTGGCCGTCCGAGGGAAGTGGGCGTGGTCGTCGAGCTCGGATTTGCCTGGACGCTGCCTTTGAGCTTGTTAAACTATAAACGCAATCAATGTTCTGCCAAATGTCGCCATCGCCGATAAGGACTACTGTGGTTACATATACGGTGAAGGGAACCAGGTTAAAATAGATCAGATTCAGCTGACACTCAATTTAGGGTGGAATATCTTGACATACTGTCGAAATTGATACTTGTTCCATATTGTAGAATAGGTTTTGAATCTTTTAGCGTGCAAACTGCAATGAAACTGTGTTTGGTACGGTACTATTTGTTCTTAAGTAATATCTGATCATTTTGTTTCTTGAAAACAACTTGATTAAGTACCTTGATTTGCAAAATACCAAAGTTTTGGAGTATTATCAAACGTGTGATAGAATGTTAGTTTGAAACTTTCAGACATCAGTGATAAGCATGCTTCTTGGATAATCATTATCCGAAGTTTCTTTTTACACTATTTCATAATTTTAGATAAGATAAATGAAGTGTGCTGGGAACATGATCGATGTTATGAAGAACAAAGCGGAAGAACCTATTGCGATAGGGTGTAAGCTGAATTTTGTAGGTACCTTCTGCATTTTTATCAAGAACTTTAGATTTTGTTTCAAGCTAGATAAGCTGGAAGACGACTATCTCCCATTTTTCAATTTTTGCCCTACCACGCTCATGTGCAAAGCCGTTGTATATTGGGGTAAAAAAGCTTATGATGCTTCTCGACATAAACTGTTTTGATAAACCTATGAAGCTTGAATTAAAGCGTTCAGTTGAAAGTGTAAATCTCAGATTATACAGACATTCTGGCATAAGTAGGGATTACAGAAAAGATATTTCTCTACAAAATTGTTCCTAAAACAGCATTCTTCAAAGTCGAAGGCAGTACTGCTCAACGTATATGTATTGAACGAAGAAAGTCTGTAAAAGGATATGATTTTGAGATTAACCATGATAAACTCGCACAAAGTATAATGTTGCTGCGCTATGTTACGTACAAGCATTTTGCTTTTGGAGAAGGGAATGTATACATAGACGTCAATAATATCATGTTCCTTGCGTAATTTTAGTAAATTTCAATAATTTTTAATTCTTAAACTGCATCCAAGACTTACATTGAAAATTAGACATTCGCTCGTTACAGATATGAATCAGTCGCAACTTTTCTTCAGTTGTTTTAAGGAACAGATTTCTAAGAACAGCACTCCTGATTTTTGTGATTTTGAGTTTGGTTTCGATATCAACCAGACAGACGCTAGCTGGCCTCAAATCCGTGATTTCTATACAGCAATAATCTATATATGACTGTGGCTGCCTTACCTGAAGCAAACAAAGTTGATGAAAAATCCATTTTTTGGGGTAAAATGCGCTTCCTCCCCATTGCTGCATTTTCATGTAAAAGCAATGATTGACCAACCCAAAATAAACGTCACATTGTCTTAGCTGAGCCTGCAAGATGAGAAGAAAATGTAATTATGAAGATTTGTTTTTGCATTTTACGCATGAAAAAAGGCTGCCTCATTACAATACCGCTCACATTTTTTTGAAAAATAGACGACATGTAGCGACATGTCCATACATGTCCATACATGTCGATACATGTATGGACATCACCTCGCGTGGCCATATCTCGCTTCAGAGTGGACGAATTCTGAATCCAAAGCCACAATTCGATTCAGCTCGGCGCGGAGAATTTTCTGATTTATTGGAATTTGGGGTACGATGTCTTCGATATTCCGCTTCCAGTTTTTTCAATTTGTTTGCGGAGGTCCTTTCGCGAATATGTGAAGCAACGCGTACCCAACATAGAAGACTTTACTAAGTACTATTCGATAATTTTTTTTTCTTGTAGATTGTTGTGCGCTACAAAATAGACTCAGACTTCTTTCCGTAGGAGGTAGAAGCATTGGTGAATTTTGGAAAAATCATGCCTTTTTAGATTCTACTATTTTATTTTAGTTATTTTCCAATTTTTCTCGTTTTACGCTCCGGAAGCTCGCCGGATGCTCTTGAATTGTAAGGAAACTTCGCTAATAGAAGTTTTCGAACACACTCTTTACGAAAATCGTCTTTGAGGACTACAGGGTCTTTTTGGAGAAATACGGTGAGCTCAAAAAGACCCTGTAATCCTCAAAGACCACGATTTTCGTAAAGAGTGTGTTCGAAAACCTCTATTAGCGAAGTTTCCTTACAATTCAAGAGCATCCGGCGAGCTTCCGGAGCGTAAAACGAGAAAAAATGGAATAACCCCCGAACATATCGGAAAGCTTGTTCGTAGAGGTTATGCGACCTGCTGATTTCGAAACTCACAACTGTTTAGCAAGATAGCTTCGTATCCTGCGGATATGGCGAGTAGAATTTGGGAATACAAGATTTTTCCATAATTCACCAGCCGTTCTATTTGCTTTGAAAAGAAACCTGCGGCTACTATTTAGCGCATCATAATCTACAGAAAAAGTGCTATAGAATGATCCTTGCAGTGTACTCGGGACAATGCTCGCTGCTTTACACTTTCGCGAAAAGACGTCCTCAGAATGATTCAAGAATTTTGAATTCGAGATATCAAGGACATGCTGTATATTAGAAGACTCGCCTTGATGAACTGAGCAAGGCGTGTTTTCGGATTTAAAATATACTAATTCCGAAGGAGGTTATGGCGAGGAGAATTTAAAAACGCATGATTTTTTCCAAAATTCACCAACGCTTCTACCTCCTTCGGAAAGAAGTCTGAGCCTATTTTTTAGCGCACAACAATCTACAAAAACAAAATTATCGAATAGTACTTAGTAAAGTCTTCTATGTTGGGTAGGCTTTGCTTCACATATTCGCGAAAGGACCTTCGCAGAACATATTGAAAAAATTGGAAACGGAATATCGAAGACATCGTACCCCCACTTCCAATAAATCTGAAAATTCTCCGCGCCGAGCTCAATCGAACTGTGCCTTTGGATTCAGGATTCGTCCACTCTGAAGCGAGATATGGCCACGCGACGGTGATGTCCATACATGTATTGACATGTATGGACATGTATGGACATGTCGCTACATGTCCATACATGTCCATACATTCGCGTCTATTTTTCAAAAAATGTGAGCGGTATTGTATGATTACTATCATGTAAATCGCTATAAACTTCAGTCTCAGATAATCGCCGGGGGCAGGTGGCCATGCGATTTATGGGCGTGCGGGCACCGGAAAAATAATTCGCTGATTTCTTGCGATCCGATTGCAGATATTTGGAGGAATTTTAGCGAAATTTTGGACGAGCGCTTGGAGAACAGTCGCGGTTTCCTCATGAATTAGCTGCGGCGTAGTGGCCGCATTCTCGCGGACTTTCCGCGAGAATATGCAAAATTTTTGGGGGCCGCACGGTCCTTTATGGAGGACCGCGCAGCCCCCAGGTACTTTCCGCTGAGAGGTACCTCAAACTTGAGTAATTAAACCAACGGTGACGCCTCTGCCACACAGAGTCTTACCTGTGCTCGACGTATCCGAAACTGCGTAAAAAGAGTCCGAGCGCCTGCTGAAAGTTTGGCCAGCGTTTGATGAAAGAGATTATTTGACGAGCGCCTGCAGAAAATTCTGTGTTGCTGCCCGCTGGCAGAACATTAGACAGTAAAGGAAGTACCGCTCGCTGAAGGTCTGGCCACGCCCCAAAATTCTGCTGACCGCTTGCAGAAAAGCGCGAGTTTGCGGACCGCCTGCCCCCGGCGATTATCTGAGGTATTGTTAACATATTCAGAATCGCAAAATTGCGCTGGTCGTTTTTCAAAAATTCGTTCTCCAAAACTGGCCTAACAGAAGAAATACAGAAGTGCTCTTATAAAGCGCAAATGTTCTTCTTCTAAAATAAAACCGTGATTAATAAATTCGCACCGCGCATAAACTTTAGCCCCAACCTGATAGTTGCTTCAAAGTTGGCCAAAATAAGAGGAGTGTAAATTTCCATTTACTGCGTAAAAGCTTGGGCATATAAAGGAAGGACATCACATCAAATCAGCGCAGGTCGAATGTGAACACTCTTTCAGCCCTACAAGTATTGCAAGTGTTATGTTGATTGCATGTGTCCATTTTATTTTACAGCCAGTGAGAGAATTTCAGTATTTCGCGAAATTCTCGAAAATTCTGTACATTCTGTTGCGATTTCGTATGCAGTCTACACAGCTACTATGCTCGCGTATATGACCTATAGAGACATTATTAGGCATTCAGTGCTTCACTGTCCAGATCTATTGACGAAGCTGAAAGGCAGGAAGTTTATTTTGCCTGGGGGAGGATCAGAAAACCGAACTTATTCACAACAGTCACAATACCACATAAAAATAATGCCACTGTATCCTATGCTCTCGCAATGTGGATGATGGGAATCCCGTCAAGATTTCACCATTTGACATTTTGATTGGAACAGAATTATCGCATTAATCAGCTCTATGTGATTTTCTTTGTTTGAATACTCTAAAAGCTCGATATTCGTGCATTCCCGGAGTTTCCATTTCATTTCCAACACAACCCGCACAATTTTTTGCGATTCAATGCATTGCCATTGTTCAAAAAATTCTCCGAATTTCACGCAACCTCATATTGATACAAAATTCAAGTTATCAAAACAAAGCTAGTGTGCATGTGTATTTCTTTTCTCTTAATATTGCTTCAACTTCTCACAAAAGATGGCTTCCAATTTGAGTTGGCCATTGAAGAAGAGATGTATACCACTAGATGTGTCTTTCCAAATCTGCTTTCCTTTCTTGCAGAAGAACTTTCCGAAAGAAGTCTCGAGTAATTGAAATCCAAATTTCTCATGCTTCAAGTAGCTTAAATCAGAGAAGGTCTCTTCAAAGCCCATGCATATTTCACTGGCTGTGCCACTCTATTGTAGTCGCTCGAATTGATACAGAAATAATTACCTCCTTATAACCTTTGATTCAAATGGCTTGGCGGCTGGAAGGCGGAGCTTCGCGACCTAAGAGGATAGGTAGATCAGAAAACACGCGCACGGGAGAGACGCAGACTGCGTCGCGGGCACGAGTGGCCTTGATTAGGTCACAAAGCACCGCCTTTTAGCCGCCAAGCCAGTTGAATCAAAGGTTAGGTGGTTTTGTACAGCTTTTCGTCAATCTTATGCCACTTAAGCATCAAAAATTTGAACTTTCAAACACTTAAAACTTTTTTCGGAAAATTAAAAAGAAAAGCAGATTCGGATTTAGCTTTGAAGACTTGTCTAGTGAAGTACATCCAGTCTTAAATCGCCAACTCAAACTGTTATACTTCCTCATACACAAATTTCTTTTTTCCTGGACAAATCTCAACTCGGTTATGTTGCTAAATCTTCTGGAAATAAAAAGGGTTAAAGCCTTTTCCGTGAAATAGCCAGCTCTAAAACATTGAATGGCTTGAAATAAATTTCTGATGGCTTTTATGCCACTATAATAAAAGAATAATGCTGTTCACTGGTAATATGCCATCACTGGAGTAGCACAAAGAAGTGTAAAGCTTCAGAAAGCTGCTATGAATCTGCTGTGAATGCGACCACAGAACATTCAAAATTGGTTTCATTCCGAATCCTATGCAAAGTGCAGTTTTTCGAATCGAGTATTGTAAGTGACGTGTGCACGCGTGAAAAGTACGAGTATATGAAACATATTGAATGAATCAATACTGCTTCTTCCCCCCTTCCCCCATTCGACTGCCTAAAAATCCC